CTTCTTCGATAATGTGTTGTAAAAGTATTTTCTCCCGTTTGGTTGTAATGATCCAGCTTGAATTGCGATCAAAAATTCTTTCCTAGGCCACCAAATGCTTCAAAAACAGTTCCTCACATGGTCCCGCAACCTCGATATCGCTTAATTCGAGGAAATTCGGGAACGGTCAGTACACACACATATTCATCATTTCAAGTTACGACTAGCATGCAAATCAATTTATGATATGTCGTGTACCGCATAAGAATAGCATAAAATAACGGTGTATCTATCATATAATATTGCTTATTAGTCGTGCGGTTATATGCTACTGAATCGACAAAATTTCAACGTGGTAAACCACACGTTAATGTCGGCACGATCGGACACGTGGATCACGGAAAAACCACATTGACCGCAGCTATCACCAAGTGTTTGGCATCCAAAGGACAAGCAAAATTTAAAGACTACAATGAAATTGACAAGGCACCGGAAGAAAAAGCGAGGGGAATCACCATTGCCACTGCTCACGTTGAATATGAAACGGCAGGGAGACATTATGCACATGTTGACTGTCCAGGGCACGCGGATTATATCAAGAATATGATTACAGGAGCTGCACAGGTAATGATGGTATGAAAACAAACTCTATGCAAAACGTATAACTAATCGCATTACATTCAGATGGATGGTGCTATTATCGTTGTGTCGGCGACAGATGGTCAAATGCCACAAACACGTGAACATTTACTTCTAGCTCGCCAGGTTGGTGTGACAAACCTTGTGGTGTTCGTTAACAAAGTTGATGCAGTAGACGACCCAGAAATGTTGGAGTTGGTTGAGATGGAGATGCGAGATTTATTAACGCAATATGGATACGACGGAGAAAACACGCCTATAATCTTGGGATCAGCGCTTGCCGCACTTGAAGGTCGTGATCCGGAAATAGGGGAAAAGGCCATAGAAAAATTAATGGAAGCAGTAGATCAACATATTCCAACTCCCGTGAGAGATCTGGACAAGCCATTTTTGATGTCTGTCGAAGGTATTTAGCTCTTTGAGAGAAGATTAACTCCTGGTAATGATTGCATATGTTTCTTAATTAATTCAACGGTCCATCATCGCAGATGTTTTCTCTATTTCTGGTCGCGGCACCGTTGCCACCGGTAGGGTAGAAAGGGGTACCATCACCAAAGGGGCAGATATAGAGATTGTCGGTATGGGACCGCCAATTAGAACCACGTTGACTGGTATAGAAATGTTCCACAAGGAACTTGACAAGGGAATGGCCGGAGATAACATGGGGGCTTTACTACGTGGTATTAAACGGGAACAGATTCGAAGAGGACAAGTGATCGCAGTTCCTGGAACTGTTAAATCACACAAGAAATTTTCTGCGCAAATTTACGTGCTCACTAAGGAGGAAGGTGGAAGACACACACCTTTCATGCAGAACTATAGACCTCAAATGTATTTCCGAACCTCCGATGTTACCGTCACACTAACCTTTCCGTCTGGTACAGAAAAACCAGAAGAAAAATTTGTTATGCCAGGGGACAATACTACATTGGAATGTGAACTTATTCACGACATGGCAGTCGAG